GCAGGACAAAGTGAGTGCAAACCTGGGGTACCTGTGCAGAACAGCATCTGTCAAAATAACCCTCAAGAGCCATTGCAAATGATTCTCTGGGTAAGAAATTGCAGCTGCCAGAACAAAGCAAAGGCTCAGTGGATTACCTGGATAAGATACTGCTCCTTGATGAATGCCCGGTCAAAGGCCACGTTGTGTCCCACCACCACTCTCTCCATCCAGTCCTGTTTGCTGGCACAGCTGGCACCTGCTGGGCTCTCCATGGGAATGAGGTCGGCCAGGGTGAGGTGGCTGGACCAGGAGTAACGCTGCTCCAGCAGCCGCCTGCTGCACCACGAGTACCTGGGGGGGACACACGGCACCGCGGCTGTCACAAAGCAGCCACGGGGTGCTGAGCAGGACCCCAGCTGTGCCAGGGAGGTGACCAACCCAGGGAGTGCTGCTCTTGCCAAGCAGGACACACACCCCACACCCCAGAGCCACGCTCTGGGGCTTTGTTGTGTCCTCCCTGCAAGCCAGCAGTGGGCTGCAGGACGAGGCTGCAGGACTGTCGGAACTCAAAATGTCCCTCAGACATTTTCAGAGGTTCCAGGCCTTGGTCAGAAGCATTTCAGACCCTGGCAAGCAGCTGGAAACAGCTGTGATTTTGAGTTTGAGCCATGGAATGAGTTACCAACTTTGAAGGTGGAACAAGCGATCACAGAAGGTTAGATGGTATAGTAAAAGTAATTACAAACTAGAGGGGAAAATTTTTTAGTATTGTATAGGGGGGTTTTAACACCTGTACAGGGGGGGTTTTACTTTGTATAGGGGGGTCAGAAGTTCTAAGATGGAGGAAAGTGGGCCTGATCCTGTTCTTCCTCCTTCTTCTTCCTTGCCTCCATGTTATTGGTGATGTTGGCACTCATGGATTGGTTTAGAGTAGAAAAGCACCTTGTAACATAGATAGTAGGTATTGGGGAAAATCTCTAAACATATAATATGTAATATATCATATAAAAGATAGCAGCAGCCCTGGGCGGGGAGAGAGAAGAAGAAGACACCAGACAGAGAGGGTGTCAGGAGTGTGTGTGTCTCTGCCTGGGCCGCTGACCAAAGCAGCCGCAGTGGGCGAAGACAATCTTTTAGATAACTACCAATAAACTAGAGACCGAACAACAAGAGGCTGCGGAGTTTTCTTTGGAAGCACAGGTTGGAGGAGAGACTTTACCACCACACAAGACCCCTGAACCAATCCCGGCGTCTCACCAGGCGTGCGGGGAGACCGCCACGGCCAGCGTGGGGCAGTGGCCATCGGCCACGCACACCTCCACGTCCAACACCAGCGCCCGCTCCTCGGGGAAGCCCACGGGCTCGGCTCGCCCGTCGGGGCCGTAGCGGGTCCAGCCCAGCTGCCAGGCCCAGCGCTGGGGCAGCGGGGGCAGCCGGCAGCGCAGCAGCTCCTCGGCCGCCTCCAGGTAGGGCAAGCTCTGCTTCTGCGCCAGCAGGCGAAAGTGCTGCTCGATGTTGTCCCCGTACATGCGGGGCAGCTGCAGCTCCACGTCGGGCAGCGTGGACGTCTCCTTGCCCCACAGCTCGTGGCGCTGCAGGTGCCGCACGCTCCGCTGGATCTCCTCCGCCGAGTAGCGCACCTGGGCCCCACGGAAGATCTGCTCGTGGAGGGTCCTGGAGAGCATCTGGATGTTGAGGGGGTTCGTGCGCCGCTGGCCCGCGGCCGTGTCCCGGTTCGGCTGCTCCGGCAGCGGGCGGCTGGCCGAGGAGCTGGACCGGCACCGCCGGGGCTGGGGGCTGCAGCCCCGCGCCGAGCGCATCCACGACACGCGTCTCATCGTCCCCCCCGCTCCGGGATGTGCTGCGGGGGGAGAAAAGGAGCTCAGCACTGATCCCCGCCATGCACACGCTGTCCTCTGCAGCCACACACTGCTCTGTACAGCTGCGACCCCGTAGAGCTGCGTCCCCACACAGGACTTTTGTCTTATCTAGCTGTGTCCCCATACAGATGTTTTCCCGCATACAGCCGTGCCCCATACAGATGTTTCCCCATACACTCCAAATTACTCTCCAAATTACACTCCAAATTATACTCCCCATATTACTCTCCAAAGCGTAAATAGCAGATGTTTTCTCCCATCCAGCCGTGCCCCCAAGCAGATGTTTCCCCATACAGATGTTTTCCCCCATACAGCCATGCTCCCCATAGAGCCATGCCCGCCACACAAATGTCCGCTCGTACAGATGTTTTCCCCCATACAGATGTTTTCTCCCATCCAGCCGTGCCCCCATACAGATGTCTGCCCCCCATACAGATGTTCCCCCCCAAATTCCCCCCGGTTCCCACCTGGTTCCCGCAAGCGGGGCCTGGACCGGCGGGCCGATCCAAACCGGGGCGCCCGGGGGAGCTTCCGGCCGCGGTGACGTCCCGTCCCGTCCCGCCCCCCTCTCCTGCCGCGCATGGTACGGCCCGGCGGGCTCCCCTCAGTAGGGCCCGCGGGGAGGCGGGAGTGGAGGTGGCCGCGTGGCCTAATGGATAAGGCGTCTGACTTCGGATCAGAAGATTGCAGGTTCGAGTCCTGCCGCGGTCGCGCTGACGGGCGCCGTGCTGGCGTTCGTTCTTTTGCTCCTCCCGCCCGTGCCAGTTTTGTGCTGGTCCGGTACCGAGCTCACCGCGCCCACGGGGCCCCTTTTTTTGTGCCGGTCCGGTACCGAGCTCACCGCGCTCACCGGGCCCCTTTTTTCCTCGAGTTTCACCGGCCCGAGGAAAGAGGAGCGGCGCGGGAAGCTCAAGGTGGCGGGGCCAGCACGCACCGCGCTTGTCACCCTCAAAGCCCTAAAGCCCGGGCTTGGGGATGGAGCAGTGCGTGGAGAGCCGAGCATGAGCGCAGGGTGGGGGATAACGGGCTGTAGGGTGCTGGCAACAGGGTGTGGAGTGCAAGGAATGGATGTAGAGTGTAAAGAATGGGATGCAGAGTGCAAAGAATGGGATGCAGAGTGCAAGGATTGGATGCAGAGTGCAAGGATTGGATGCAGAGTGGAAGGAATGGATGTAGAGTGAAAGGAATGGATGTAGAGTGCAAAGAATGGGATGCAGAGTGCAAGGAATGGATGTAGAGTGCAAAGAATGGGATGCAGAGTGCAAAAAATGGGATGCAGAGTGCAAGGAATGGATGCAGAGTGCAAAGAATGGGATGCAGAGTGCAAGGAATGGATGCAGAGTGCAAGGATTGGATGCAGAGTGCAAGGAATGGATGTATGGTGCAGGGAATGGGATGTAGGGTGCAGGGAAAAGGCCACAGGTGCAAGGAGTAGGATGTAGGGTGCTGGGAATGGGTGTTGGGTGGAAGGAATAGGATGCAGGGAAAAGGCCCTAGATGCAGGGGTGGAAGGCTGGGCATATAGGGTGCAAGGAGTGGGAGGTAGGGTGCAGGACGAAATGTGGGGTGGGAAGAATGGGCTGTGAGGTGCAGAGTATGGATGTGGGGTGCAGGGAAGGGCATGTAGGGTACAGGGAAAAGGCCACAGGTGCAGGGGATGGGATGTAGGGCAGGGGATGCAGTGTGTTAGGAATTTAGGGTGCTAGGATGTGAAGTACAAGGTATGGATGTAGGGTACTAGGAATGGGGTGCAGGGGAAAGGTCGCAGGTGCAGCAAATGCGATGCCAGCTGCAGGACAGGTGGCTGCAGGGCGCTGGGGATTCAGGGTGCAAGGAACGGGATGGAGATCGACAACGAAGGGAAATAGGAGGTGCGGACAGGTGGGTGCAGGCTCCGTGGAGCCGCAGGAGCTGTTGTGGCCGGGCCGGTGGCTCCTGACACAGCCCAGCCCGGCGCTGATATTGCCGTACCGAGCCGGGCCGGGCCGGGCCGTGCCGAGCCGCCAGGTGGCGCTGCGGCCCCGCCGCAGTGGGACGGGCCGGGCCGGGCCGGGCCGAGCCGGGCCGGGACCCGCGGGGCCGTCGGGGCGCGGACACCGCTCGGGTCCCGTCCCGCTCCCGCTTCACCTGCGGGCACCGGGCAGGGCCAGCGGGCACCGGGACTCCCCTTCGCCCCTCCGGCCCCTGCGGAACTCTCCACCCCGGTTCGCCTCCTCTCCAATTCCCCGCTCCGCACCTGCCCGTGGGGGTGCGGGGCCGGCGGGATGGGGGTGAGCACCCGCTGCTGCCCTCCGCTCTCCCAAAAGGCAGAACCAGCGTGGGAGCGCTGTGGGATGTGAGGAACCGCGATGCGGGGTTCTGCGGCTCGGAACGCCTTTCACAGCCCCTCCGTGCCCCGCAAAGTCCCCGCTGCGCCCCAGCTTGAGATTCGATGTGCGGGTTGTGCTTCACCCGGTTTCACCCAGCAGCGGGAGGCTGCCAGGAGCCACGGGGGTTGCCTGTCCTCGGCCACTCCGGACCGGGGACTTAAGGTTTCAGGGGGTTTCTGCGAGAGCTCGGCGGGCGCGGGCTGTGGAAGCGGCGGGGAGAGATGCTCCACGACCGCGGGTGCTCTGGACGGGATGGACGAGCCATGAGCTGCCCTGGAGTGAAGGGAAGAACGGTTTAGGGACCTCTGGGTGCACTTGTTCTCCCCTCCGATGCATTGTGTTAACGCAAATTTCTCTAATTTGACGTCTTTTATCTCCTTATTTTCATCGCGTTCGCAAAAATTTAAATTCTAAAAAATCCATACCCACCCCATCAAAAAAATTTCTCCTCTCTCCAAAGCGTAAATAACAAAAATAAATTCTCCTCTAAATGTTTCTCGCGGCAGCGCTCTGGGAGGGACGATGACAACGAGCTCCGCTGCCTTGTCTGTAGGCAGGACCGGGCCAGGGCTGCCTGTGCCTCACCTGAGTGCCGGCAGGAAGGTTCGACAAGGCAGGGAACCACTGAAAAAAAAAAAAAAACAACCAAAAAACACTATGAACAGCCCGAAATAACCTCAAAAATCCGCCGCTTCAGCACAGCTGGCTGCAATGCAATGCATAAGTCGGAATGGGGTGTGTATCGTCTTTTTTTTTTTTTTTTTTTTTCCTTTCTTTTTTTTTTTTTTTCATTCCCGAGGTTTTTTGGTTTTGTGTCTGCCATGCAGAGAAGCATCCCCATCCAGGTGCGCCCCGTCGGGGTCCGGTACCGGCGGTGGGAGCTGTGACTTCTCGCCAGCTTCTTGGAGAGCCCACTCCCCGCCGGGAGCTCAGTGCTGTCTGTCGGATAATGGGGCGGTGGGACTTTGTTTAACCCCGTTGCCCCTGGGGCCAGGGGTCAAGGGCTTCCTCTTCCCCCGGGACACGGCGGAGACGCCGTTGGTCACAACAGGAGGAGCGCGGCGAAGAGGGGGAAGCGGTGGCCGCAGTGTCCCCCTGTCCCCGCCGCGGCCCTCCCGGTGCCACCGGCGTGGAATCCCGTAAAGCTCCTTCTCTCCCCGCACCGAGAGGCTGAGAAGGGCTCCTGATGGGTGTTTTGGGGGAGCAGGTGGAGGCCAAACATCACCACGGGGCAGCGGGTGATGATGCAGAGAGGCAGCCCCTGCTTTCCAGCATCCCCCGGTTCTGCTTTCCCCTCCCAGCTGGAGCAGGACGTTCTGAACGGGGTGCCGCTTTTAGCGGTGTTTCACCCCCTCCCTCCACAGGTAGAGATGTCTCAGCTGCCCCCCCGGAGCCAAGAAACGGGAGAAACGGGCAATTTTTATAGGTGACGTACGGGCTTACGTGGAAATCCGTGCCCAGCACTGCTCTTTCAGCTTCTTTTTCTCCTGAAATAACCCTTCCGAGAAGCTCGTACCCCCCTATTCCAGCTCGCAACCCCTTTTTCAGGCTGGGGAGGAGTCGGGAAAGAGGGAAGGAAAAGAGACAAGAAAAGGACCCCAACATCCCGCTCTTCCCCTGCTCGGGAAGCGAGCCCCGGAGCTCCCAAAGTGAGCGCTGAAGAGGGCGACAGGAGACAGGCGGGAGCCGGCTCCGAGCTGGAGGGGTCGGGGGTGGGATGAGAGCAGAGGAGGACCCTCCTTTTCGGGATTAAGGGAGAACCAGCGAAGGAGGGAAGCTGGCGGCACCGCGGGCATCCGAGGTAAGTCCCTCTCCTGCCCGCAGCGGTGGTACCTGAGGCAGGGCGCTGCTGCGGGGGATGCTTTGGGGGTTCAGAGGAGCCCGATCCCGGGGGTGCCCATTCCCGGGGCTGCCCCAGCACAGCCACCGGGCTCTGCGGGGCCGGGGCTGCTTTGGCGGCTGTGGGATCGGTGCCGTTTATCCCGGCCCGGGCGCTGCCGGCAGCCCCTGCCCCGCTCCGTGCCCGCTCCCTCGGGGTTGGGTCGGGGTCCCCCCGGGCCGAGCAGCCCACGGATCCCGCTCCCAGCCCCCGGGGCTCCTCCCGTGCGTGTCTCAATTCGCTCAGGCTTGACTTGGCAATAAGCTCTCTCAATAGGGTGACAATAGAGCCCCGGTGGGACCCGAACAAAGAATTTGAAAGTAGTTAAATTGCAGGACACGTCCATCGCCTGGGTGCTTGAATTTAAAAAAAAAAAAAAAAAAAAAAAGAAAAAAAGAAAAAGAAAAAAAAAAGAAAAAAAAAGAAAGAAAAAATCAGAGAAAAGAAAAAGGAGAGAGACTTTTCTTTGGGCTGGTGAGAAAATGCTCAGGGTAAAAGTTGGTTTGGCGTCTTCATTTCAGCGACAATGGAGCAGAGCTAATTCAATAGGAAACGCGGGGATTTTTTAATGAAAAGACCGCCGGGGTTACACCGAAGTTAAGCTCTTGTGAATTAATTATTAGGGCAAATAAACTGGGAGGGGGGGAGCACTCGGGAGGGAGTGTTGCAATTTCTTAATATTCTCCTTTTCGTGTTTAACGACAATGCCATTAGGTTTTCGACTCTGGGTGAGCAAAAGGATTTTCTTGCACTCCCCGGGAAGAGGAGAAGACGTGCTTTTTTTTTTTTTTTTTTTTTTTTTTTTTTTTTTTTTTTAATGGTGTTAATTGCTTTTAAAATAAAATTCTACAGAATTTGGCAACGAGCTCCGATTTCTGCTGGCGGTGGCATTTGGGGTTGTATTTCCTTTCGTGGAAACTCGCAGATGCAAAAAAGGAAAATAACGGGGAAATTTAAAAACACGAATGTAAAGGCGAGGCGGCGTGTTCGGCTATTGCAGATCTCTCGGGCTCGATCGGTTTATTTTTTCCTACATAGAAAACCTGTCTGGGGATCCCTGTGTATTCATCGGGGCGGCGAGAGACTCCCCAGAGCCGCTCCGGGGCATCGGTGGAGTGAATCGGAGATAAAAATTAGGAGCCAGGTTAAACGCAGGAAGGAAGAGGAGAGGTCGGAAGCGAAGTAAAGGTGTGCCAGGAGGGATTGGGGTGTGGGGGGCTGTGGGGTTTTGGGGAGGGCTTTTTGAGCCGTACAGCAGAGGCTGCAGGCGGTGCAGTGTGTGTTGATGCTGTAAAGACGAGAGGGAAGATAGAGCCGGAGGGGAGAGGAGAGGGGCGCGCCGGCGGGACCTGCGTGCCCGCTGCCAGCTCGCTGTGCCCCCGAGCCCTGCGCTGCGGCTGGCGGGGCGAGCCGGGCTCCGCGCTCGGCCTGCCCGTCGGGGATGGCACGGCACGGCACGGCACGGCTACAGGAGGGACCGCTTTTCCAGGGATGGGGACTCGGCCCGGGGCAGCCTGTGCCCTGCAGGCGGGCCGAGCCGTGCCGTGCCGAGCCGTGTCGGGCCGGACCGGGCAGTCGTGGGTCCTTTCAGCATTTGGACAGCGGTGCGGGGCCGGGAAGGCGGCCGGGGGCCGGTGGGAGCTGGCCGGGCCAGGGAAGGGTTAGGGGCGGCCTCAGCCCTTTCCCTGTCCGCCCTCACGGGGTCCGTGCCTCAAGGGATGGGGGGCACCGCCAAGAGGGGACTCGGGTGGCGGGGTGTGGGGGGAGCTGGCCCCGCTCTCCCCACCGAGAAGCGCTTCTCGAGGCCGGGGGAAGAGCGGGGTGCCCGGTGGGGCGGCCAGGTGAGCGACAGCGGCCCCGGGGGAGCCGGAGGCAGAGGGGCTCTCCGGGGATAAAAGGGGGGTACACGGCCCCCCTCCCCCGCGCAGCCCCATCCTCCGGGGGTAATTAAGGGGTGAGGCGGAGGGGCTGCGCTTTCTGCTCGGCGGAGCCTGCCAGCCACCAGCCCCCGCCGCCACCGCCGCCTTCCTCCCGTCCTCCTCCTCTCCCCCTCCCTCCCACCGCCTCCTCCCCTCCCCCTCTCCCTCCTCCTCCTCCTCTCCGCCATGGTTGGAGTGAATAGGCGGCTGCCGGGCTGACGTCAGTGCGGGCAGAGCCTGCCGGCGGCGGCAGCTCCCGGCCAGCGACCAGAGCCGGCACCGGCAGCAGCCGGGAAGACGCGCGGAGCCGGGGCAGAGCCGCCTCCGCCGCCCCCGCCGGCCCGCGCCCGGGGCTGGGGGCTGCGGGAGCCACCGCTCGGCCGGGGGCAGCCCAGCCCGCCCCTCCGCCCGCCCCGGGGAGGGGAACGGCCCCGCCGCCGCTTCTCCCGGGACCTCCGTCCTGCCCTCCGCACGGCTGCAGAGTGAGTGTCGCGGCCGGGCATCGCCGCCTCGGCGGGGCGGCCCCGGGGAGGCGGGAGGGTGCGGGGGACAGTCTCCTCCGGGGGGACACACCGGCTGCCGGAGGGGGAGGAGGGAGGCAGGGAGAGAGGAAGGGGGACACGAAGTTGGGCCGGTCCCCGCCGGGAAGTTGGGCTCCTCCAGGTGCCGGCACCACGCGGGACCGGGACAGCCCCGCGCCGCTGCCCGGCCCCGCTCACCCTTCGCGGGGCACGAGTGGAAACACCGCGAACCTTTTGCTGCCGGGGACGCGTTTGCTCCGGCAGCTTCTCCCTGGATGCCCGGGACGCTGCAGCTCGGGAGAGGGGCCCGGGACGGGCTGAGCCCCGACGGGACGCGGGGAGCTGGGGCCGAGCGCTGCCGGGGGCTGCCGAGTTTCCCCCAAACCTCCGCTCCCGCCGGCCGGAGAAGCGGCACGGGCCAAAACGCCCGGATGAGGCCGAGCCTCCCGGGACAGCCGGGCTTTAGGCCGCGGGAGAAATCCCGGGCTCCCGAGGAAGTTCATCCTCCCGGTGCAACGGGTGCTGCTACTGGGCCTGTTTTTAGGGATGAAGGGGAGAACATCAGGGCGTCCCGCTCCCCTGCTCGGATTTACCCCTGAGGACCAGCAACGGGAACGGGGCTACCGCTGCTTGTGCCCTGATCTGCCACCGGCTTCTGGTGCCAGTGGATTATTTTCATTTTTCATTTGCTGTATGCATTTCCTTTGCTTAAAAAAAAAAAAAAAAAAAAAAAAAAAAAAAAAAAAAGAGAGAGAGAGAGAAAAAAACATTTTTATTTTATCCTTGTTTATAATAATTTTATTTTTCTTTCTGCTTTTACCCTCGTTTTTAAAATTTTCTATATTCACCCCCATTCATTCTTCGTTTTTGCTCCCTGCCTTCTCGTGACTGCTTATTTCCTCGGGGATCGTTGTTTGGCTTTTGTGTTTTGTTTTGTTTTTTTTTTTTTCCTGTTATCACCCTGGAAGTGAAACGCATTTTAGGCCTCAGCCTTAAGGAAACCCGAATCATAGCAGTGCAGGTGGCCTGAGACTCTGCACCTGGCCGGATCCCTTCGACGTGCCTCCACCCCCGGCCCCCGGCCGGGCAGCACCTCGCCCCGCCAAGCGAGGAAGGTCCGGGGCGGTCCCCACCCGGGTCCCGGCCCCGACGGCCGGAGAGAAAAGAGGAGCCGGGGGTGAGACGCAGCCGCTTTCCCTTTTCGGCGCCGGGGCTTGCTCAGAGGCTGCTTTTAATTACTAAACAAAGCAACGCGTTTACTTCACGCCCGGCGGGAGTTGCCGCTTCTTTGCCAAGCCCCGATGGTGAGGGGAAAAACAACCCCCCCCTCCCAAAAAAAAAAAAAAAAAAAAAAAGACAAAAAAAAAAAGAAAAGAAAAACCATCCCCAAAAAAACAATTAGGAGAAGATGCAGCTCGAGGCTGCGAGGCGTGGGGGGTTACTCCAGGTTGGCTAAAAATAACTTCTCCTAATTAAAGAAAAGTGACGTCAGACGTGCAGGACGTAGAAGAGGGGAAGGCAGCGGACTCGTTCCTGGGCGATCACGTTAAATAATTCAGGGCCGGCCTGGTGACCGGGCTCTTCCGAGGTGCGGTCAGCGGGGCCGCCCGCCTTGCCCGGCGCCGGGGTCACCCGAGGAGGGAGCGGGCGGCGCGGCCGTCCTGCCCGCGGGCGGGCGGAGGGTCCGCAGGGCCGGGGCCGGTGCAGCACCATGGCCAGAGCCACGCCGGCACCGCCGTCCCTCCCCGTCCCGTCGGGCCGCCCGCCGCCGTGGGTGCTTTTCTCTCGTGCAGATGGAGGAGAGTCCCGCGGCCCCCGTGGGCGGCCCAGGGCAGGAGGAGGAGAGTTGGCTCCGGGTGATGCCATCGGAGCTCCGGAGCCAGGGCAGCCCCGCCGATGCCTCCCCAGGCTTCTCGATGGTGTTTTGCGCTGTGCCAAGGAGCCATTTTGTACGCATCTTGCTAAAATTGCGCCAAAAAGAAAGCCCAAACAAGCCCTACCCGCCACAAAAGAAAAAAATAAAAACCAAACCCAACATAACCAGAATTAAAAAAAAAAAAATCCCACAATACCCAAGCCTAACAACAAACAAAAATACCCCGAGCTCATGGTATTCTCTCCCACGTACTGGGGCTCTGCCTATACGGAGAGAGAGGGTCAAGGCGAGAGCTCCGAGCAGAGCAAAACATTGCCGAAAAAGAGCAGGGAAGAAAAATAATATAATATATATTTCTGCCAAGAAAATCACCTCCTATGGCCGGCAGAGAGAGGGGATCTCGTCTCCAGCCCCGAGAAGCCCGGCGAGGTGCGGTGCTTTACCCGCAGCATCCTCGCCTGAGCGACACGGCGGCCCGGGGGCTCGGCACGGCGGGCGGGAGATCTCGCACGGCGGCAGCCGGGCAGAGCTGCGGCTTAGCAGGGCTGGTTCTGCCCGTCTGGGCCCCCTCGCCGCTGCCGCAGGGACAACGGGGCTGGAACGGGGCCGCATCGCCGCCGAAACGGCCCCGGGAGTGGGGAAAGCTGTCGGCGGCGCCCCAAGCTTCTCCCCGCCACCGGGGCCCCGCGGTGAGTAACGGGGCCTCCCCCGTGGGGGTAAAGCGAGGCCGGTCCCCGGGCACGGCGAGCCCTCCGTGCCCGCTCGGTGCCACCGTCCCCGCACCCCCGGGCTGCGCTCCGAGGCAGCGGGGCGGGCGGGCGACTTCCCCCGCTCCAGCCGCCAGCATTCTACCCGCGACCACCCTAACAGCGAAACCGATAAATTAGGAGAAAATCCAAGGCCGTAAAATTAAGGAGATCCCATTCATGGCAATTTTTTTCCCCCCTGTCTCCAGTATAGATTAAAATAAACGCCGACCAAGTCCCCTCCCGGGCGGCTCCGGGCCGCGGGGGTGGCACCGAAGGGCTGGAGACAGAGAAATTATTTCTCCCCACCTTCTCCAGCCCCGTCGGGGCGGCCAGAGCACACCGGGGCCCGTTTCTCGTTGGGCAGGAGGCGGGAGGGAACGGGCAGTTCCCGGGAGCCAAGCGGCGGTGGCCGGGCTCGCCTGGGCGCCGGGAGCAGCGCCGGCTCGCAAAGGGCTGGCAGCCCTCGTCCTTTAGCTTTTAGCCTGATTGAGCTCGTAGATTTTATTTATTTAATTTTAAATTTTTTTTTAAGGGGATGGCGGGGAGGGGGAGGGCGAAGAGAGGGAGAAATAAATAATCCGAGCGGAGCTCGCCGGGAGCCGGAGGCGGCGGGACCGGCAGGCAGCGCTCTGCCGCGGCTGCTCCCGCCGAGATCGCTTCGTTTTGTAGCAGGTCACATTTAACCCGCGTCTGGGATTTAAAGAAAGGCGATATTCAGAAGCGGCGAGGGATTACAATTCTAATTTTTTTTTAATTTTTAATTTTTTTTTAAATTGAGGATAGGTCAGTTAAGCACTTCAGATAATCATATTTAGCTTCTGGCATTTTAGTCTGATTATTGCTGCTGTTATTATTTGTATGTGCCGGATTCGCCGCTACACGCACATCGCGTTAAGAATCTGTGCAGGAAATAGCAGAACCTGGAGGGGAAATAATTAAAAGTGTGGGGAAATGGGGAGCAGAGAGGATGTGTGGGGGATCGCGGGTGCGTCCCCGGGGCACGTCTCGGGACGGGCGGGCCCCGCGTTTGGCTGCAGTGAAAGGGTCTTTCGGGCTGCCCCCAGGTGCGGAGGCCGGACGGGAAGGGATTGCTGGGGGGGGGGGGAGAAGGTGTGAGAGAGGCACGCTGCATGGCGGAGTGCATGGCGAGGAGAGGGAAAAATGGGAGAAGGAGTCGGGAATATGAAAAGAAAATGGATGGAAAGGGAAAAGGTGGGGAGAAAGGAAAGGCCAGTGAAAGGGAGAGAGTGAAGGGGAGAGGGAAAAGGAAGAGAGGGGAAAGGAAAAGGGGCGAGAAGGAGAGAGGGGAGTGCCGAGGAGGGGGAAAGGGAGGTTAGTTACAGGTGCAGGGCTGTGCAGGGGTGCCGCTCGCCTCTCCCGCAGCCCAGCGGAGGTGCCGCGGGGGCACGTCGGGGCGGGAGGAAGCGGGCAGGGGGTAGGGGAGGTGAGCGAGCCGCGGCACAGGCCGGGCAGGGCGGGAGGAGGCGGCCGGTGGCGGGGTGTGGCGGAGGGCCCGGTGCCGCCCGGTGCCGCCCGGTGCCGATCCCGGCCCGGCCCGTCCCGCCGCAAAGCCCATCCCGGGCTGGAAAGCGCGGGAAAGGGGGCGCTGATTTAAATGAGGGCGCGGGGATTGGCTGGGCGCGGCGTGACGTCACTTCCCAAAGGGGGCGATTACCATGCGAGGGGAGTAGAAGTTGGGCAGCGGGGCGGGAGCGCGAGTGCCGCTCGCCGGGCCGGGCCGGCGGGCTGGGCACCGAGCACCGGCCCCGCGGCCAGCCCGGCCCGGCCCAGCCCAGCCCAGCCCCGCGCTGCCCGGCCCGGCCCGGCTCGGCTCAGCTCAGCCCGGCTCAGCCCGACCTGTCTCGGTACGGCGCGGTTCGGCTCCGAGCCCCCGCGGCAGCCCGCCGTGCGCCCGTGGCTCTGCCCCGGCTCATCTTCTCTGCTTCATATTTATCTTTTTTCTCTCTCTCTCTTTTCTTTTTTTTTTTTTTCTTTTTTTTTTTCTTTTCCTTTTTTTTTTTTTAATTTTTTTTTTTTTTATGTGTGTGTGGTTCCCGGTGGCAGCTCCTGGCCGCCCTGCCCCGGCCGTGCCCGCACCTTGGAGCGGACGGACGGACGGACGGATGGCCGGCATCCCCGACGGAGGGATGTTTCTGTCTTTGGTTATCTAGCTGTATGAGTGTTGTGGAGCCATCATAAAGCTAGATAACCGAAAGTAGAAATGACTTCCAGACCTGCTCGCCCAGGGGAAGCGGCCGCACCGGGACCGGCAGTGCAGAGACGGCCCGACTCGCCGCCCTGGGGGCTCCAGGTAAGGGCTGCGGGTCCGCGACCTCCCCGTCGGGCCGCTCCGGGCAGCCCGGGGCTCCGCGGCAGCAGGCGGGAGGGACGGGGACAGGGAGGCGAGCCCTGCGCCAGTTCTTCCTTTGCCAAATAAATCCGAGGTTTAATTATCGGTTAAAAGCACGCCGAAATTCACTCCTAGGCTAGGGGGTGTTGCGGCTCTGGGAGGATGGAGAGAGCGAGCACCCTCCCCAAATAAACCTTCCCCCGCGTCCCAGCCTACGGGTCACACCACGAAACTCCCCAGCTTTTCGATATCTTTCCTTCTCTCTCTCTTTCTCTCTCTCCTGCTCTATTTTTTCGGCTTTGGATTTGATCCTGGCCTCCCTTTGGAAGGTCAAGTTGGTGAGAATGTGATCACTTTTCTTGCGTGGTGGCTGTTGCTTTTGTTCGTAGCTGCGGGGGGATGCCTAGGGAAGGGGTCCCGCTGCTGGGTGCACCCCTCCAGCATGCAGCCGCCCGGCCCTGAGGCTTCTTTGGAAACCGAGCGCTTGGCAAGGCACAAAGCCTCCCTCACCTCCGCTGCAAGCCCCAGAAGTTGAAACATAATATGTATTACAATGTCTGGCAAATAAAAAAAAAAAAAAAAAAAAAAAGGTGGAAAAAGAAAGAAAGAAAAGAAAAGAAAAGCAATTGGCACATCTGCATTCCGTTCCCATGGCGACACAAAGCACCGTGCTCTTCGCCGAGCCTCCCCGGCACGTTTTCCCAGCTGGCGTGGGGCGAGCGCCCCTGGCCGGGACCGGGCTCTCCCGGGCCCCCCGGCACCGTGGGGCGGGCTGGGAGCATCGCCACCAGCCCCTCGCCCGGCGCTGGCCGCCCGCATCCCGCAGGGACCATCCCCGCGCTGCCGCCAACCCAACCCACAGGGGCCGCGACAGCTCCGGGAAGGCTGCGAGAGAAACCTTCCTGCGGCAGGGCTTGCGAGGGGGCTCTGTGCTGGCCCTCTGCCCCCCGGGAGATGCTGCGGGAGATGGGGAGGGCTGGGAAAGGCGCTGCCGCGTTCCCGCTGCTCGGCGAGGTGGAGCGCGGGTACCCTGCCCCATCCTCTGCCGTGGGCATCCCTCGCACCGCAGGGCCGAGCCGCCCGTGCCCGGCGGGGCCGGCCGGAGGTGGGAGCCCCCCGCACCTCGCAGGAAGGTTTTCCACCTTCCCTTGCACGGGGTAATGGCGCCCGGTGCCACGTAGGCCCGCAAAGCTAAATCTGCCTGTGCACCCTTCCAGGGCCAGCAAAGCACCGCCATAACCACAGTAAGGAAAAAGGATCTCAGCCTGAATTTGGCTATACCGGGAGAAAGAAAAGTTCTGAGAAGCTGTTATTATATATATTCTAATGAGAAGTCATTGGAGAAATTAAAAAGGGCAGAGAAAGACGAAGACGCCAGCGCTAATTCCGCAGGAAGCCTCCCAGGGAAAAGGCTGTGTGAGTGTGAACGCTGAAAAGCATGAAGGCCTGGAATTAGACTATCATTTAGAAAGCGTTACTAATCCGAAGTTACAGCAGTAATTCCATGATTTGCTGGGTCCCACACGCAGCGCCAGAATTAAAGATACGGATTTTCTAGAAATGTAACTCAACTGTGGCACCGAGTCTCGGCAAGATCCGAATGAATCATTCATTCCAAAGGCAGCGAAAGACGTGTCATTAAGAACCAACCTCCTTCTCTCCAGCCCATCTGGAATATGTATACTCGATGCAATCCCAGAAATTGTGGAAGAGATCGGAGGTGGGGAGGAAGGAATGTAGTCCTTTCCCTCCTTTATTATGTTGGCTATTTTTAAGAAATAATTTTCCAATTATTTTCACAATATTGTGAGTGGCGCTCAATTCTTCTCCTATTTATTTTTTCCCCCTTTCGTGCGCCAGCATCGAGTCAGGTGCAAACGGTTTCAGTGGAGATGCTTTAAAACTAGACTGAACAAAGCAGGAGGGAACTGAGCAAGGTGGTTGATGAATGCATTTATTCCGGAGTAATGATTTGATGGGGGATGGAGGAAAGAAACATTCAAATTCCTAATGAATGTAATTCAGGAGGAATCATTCAACCAGCATGTTAGAGAAAATCTGTTTGGTGGGAGTGTTCTGCACTGGCAGAACCCAGGAGGTATTTCTGTCCCTGGCTTTTGTAATTGCAAAAGGTGAAAATATAAAAAGAGGATCTGAGAAAAAAAATATACACACATATAATAAATGTCTTTGTGTGTGTATATATAAATACATATATATATATAATTTTATTAAATAAAATGGAAGTGTGGAAATCCGTGTCTACATGAGAACTCTTACAAAGGATTGATGCAAGCTTTTTCACTTTGCTATTCAATCAGCTGGTCAGAAACCACTCTTGACTTCTACTATTTTTTTTTCCTCCACAAAATCACCTCTCCTGAGCTGATTTTTGAGGTATTTTTTTCAGGCCATGTACTTGGTACACTTACTCCAGAGCAGTTCCCCCGAAGGGGACTGAGACAGGGACTGAGCGATTTGGCCTTTAATGTCCACGAGAGAGAAATTGCGGTTGAATTTTTTCTGCTGCTTTAGTGCTTCCTTCTTGCCCCCATTGTTGGCATGAACCTATGGGTGTCTCGAGGAGGTGTGAAGGCAGCACCATCTCAATTAACAAGGGAGGTGGCAGTGAGTGATGGAGGACAGCGGGGTGAGAATCCCCAGATCATACGTGTGTGGGTCGGGGGCAAGGCAGTGGATGAAGCCCCCCAGCAAATCTCTGCTTGTGGCATACCTGCTACATCTAGAGAATCCCTGGCAGCCCACCGACAGGTCTCTGCCTTCTGTCGTTTTTTTTTTTTTTTAAGTGCCATATTAGAAGGGAGGTCCCCAAGGATCTGTCCTTGGGCCAGGGATGGATTTTGGCTGGAAACAGTTCCCTTTGTTAGCTTTGCTTTTTGCCCTGTTAGGGTAGCTGTTGGTTTGGATGGGTCTTTGCCCCTGTGTAGGCAAAACCCAGAAGGGAAGGCATCTTTTTCGGGAGTGCTGAGATGAGAGTCCATGTCCCGGCATTCCTGGTTCTTTCTCTTCTCAGTGGGACTCTCCTGATGGAGCAATAGGATGCAGCGTAGGCCAAACATGGGTGAGGTTCCTGGAGCTGGGTTGTGATGTCTTTGTTCTTCAGGCAGAGCTGGGGATGGGCAGAGTGAGACAGAAACAGAAGAATCAGCATGTGCCATTGGGGGATGAATGCAAAATGCAGTTTGCGGGTTTCACCCCAAGGAAATGATGCTCTGGGAGATTGCATGCTCCAGCTCAGGATTTCCCACCTTTTCCTAAAACGTGTCCGCCATGCAGTGGGTTTGGTTTGGTGCATCAGATGAAGGGTGTTTATACCAAATACCTGGGGAAGCCAAACTCACCAGGGCTCGGGGTCAGGTGAAGGGGCTGTTCAGGCCCTGCTCTTTGAAGGAGCTCCCCTGGAAGCCAGGCTGTGTGACCGTGCACGCTTGGTTATGGATGAAATCCCATCAATGGGCATTTTTGTGGAACTGCCTGGCAATGGCAAGTTCCACTCTTGAGGCTGGGCTCAGCCATTTCTTTTGTCTCTCTTGGCTCCCATGCCCTCCCTGCACCCTTGGTGCGAATGGGCAGAGCCTCCCTTTACCTGCTGCTCTGCCCAGGCTTTGTCTGTGCCGCTGGAGCCGAGGAGCTTGGAGGGTCCATCCAGCCTGTGGCCATGGATGGGTGCTGCATGTCCAGCAGGGAGGGATCACGGCTGCCTGCTGGGAACACTCGTGTGCCTGGGTGGAGGGAAGGTGCTGATTTGGCACCAGCGCTGAGGCACATGGTGGTACACACACGCCGTTCATGGTGTGGGTACCGCGTGTCACCCTGGCACTGCTGCTGCCACATCGCAGCCCCTCCATTGCCCTTAGTCTCTGGGTGTCACCAGGGGCCGTCAGCATAAGATGGACGTGTGGCTGCCCGTGCTGGCTTCCCCAACACATGGTACAGGGAGTCGCTCTGTCCAGGTCGGGGATTTTGGTGTTTCATGCCCACAAGCCTGGTCACCTCGGAAAGCTGTTTGCCAGTTTTTCCTGAACTGGAAAAACATCATCTTGGGCTTCTCGCCATCCCTCTGTCCCTCTGAGTGCACGTGTTTGTGACCAGAGCTTGCATACGAGGCTGGGCCATCACACTTCCCACAGGCGGGCTCCAGGCATCTGCAAAGAGTCAGGACCAAGTTCTGGCTTTCGTGTTTTCTAATATTTATTCAGGGGCTCAGGTTTGGTTAGGAGCGTTTGCCTCGAAAGCTGAGGAGTGGGGGTAAAAAAAAGAAAATGGGGGGAGCAAAAGAACACAATCTCCGGCAGTTAGCTGTCTCTTGGAAACTCAGCTTGCTGTTCCTATAGAGGCTTTCTCTTTTCCTTCACCCTGGTCTGGCCTTAAGTACCACTTTAAGCGGGCTTTGCTCATTCACATCCAGGCTCCTTAGAGCAATTGAGCCCGCGGGGGTTTGAAAAGAAGGGACAGTCCTTCAATGGCAGGACCTTGGGCCAGGCTAATTGGTTTTGGTTCAAGGGGATACTGGATTTGTGAAAAGCCCAAAGACATCTTTCCCACGCCAAATCCCGGCTCTTCAGAGGGGGAAGTGAGGGGTGCTAGGTGGAGAAGGGAGCTGAAAGAAAGATGGCTTAGTTGAGGAACCTCCTAAGGACCAGGATGCCCAGCAGCCTCGGCAGGGATGGGTGCAGCCAGGGGCAGTGCCCAGGGTGGCACAGCAGCAGGGGCACGGTGCCCTTCCTCCTCCTCGGGGTAGGTGGACAGCAGTGGCTGGCTCCTGGTGGCATGCTGGCAGCTGTGGCCTGGTCTCATTAAAATGGGCTTTTTCAGTGCATGCCAGACTCCCATGGAGATGCCACGAATGCAGGAAGGATGGGACATGGGTCCAGAAACCAAATTGCATCTGTGTGATCACCTGTACAGCTGTGGGAGGAATTTGTTGAGGTCTCTTGTATCTCATTTTGATTTAAGAATTTATTTATTTTTAAACATTGACTCTCTCTGGCACCATTCCAGCAGTCCTACGACCTTTACTCTCCCCAATCCATAAAAATCACTTAATTATTGGGCTGAAAATCAAGGCTTGGAAACAAAGCCAGCTTATGGGACCATCAGTTCTTGATATATTTCCTGAGAGGACATATTTCTGGGCACCTTCAGAGCAGAGCACGCAGCTTGTTGGATATGAGATATCAAGGCATTATTTATTGAGGAAGTCTTCACACTCTCTCATCTGTTATAATTAACTGATGACATTTTTTCTTAGGTTCAAAATATGGTGAAAAAGTATAATTAGCACGAAGCTGAGGCACTGCATTAAAATGTCTCCTATAGTTAATGTAGGGTAGTTGTGCTATTTATTATAGGAGGAGCTGGCTCTGACCTCTGTGTTGCCTAACACTTTTTATTGTAAAGATTCTTGAACTTTTTTTTTCTTTTTGAGAACCTCTGACACTCCCATTGTTTGCTGTGGGCCCTTGAAATTCGTCTGGGGGAAGCTCTTCGAGTCGAGAAATGCCTGTTCTTTGTCCCTTAAATTCCTTTCAGGTTTAGCTGAATTATGAATTGTTCAGAATCACGATTTCCCTTCACTTGCCTCTTGGGGGGGGGGAGAAATTAAAATTTATTGTTTCCCTGGAATAATAATAACAGATTAGGAGCAGGGTGAAACTGTGGACTCCCACCACTTTATTGCAGAGCTCTGGACCAGCCAGGGAAGGTGGGAGGGTGTTCACAGCAAGCTCCATCACCCCTTTCCACCTTTAGGTCATATCCTTCCAGTACAGACCCTTCGCCTGGGAGAAAACTCCTGCGTGTTCTGGTGCCAGGAGGAAAAAGGGAAGGGTATGTGGGTGCACTGGCCTGGGCACTGCCAGCCCCAGCAGTCCCCTTCTCTGAGGGCCCCGGGAGAGCAGCCTTCTGCCGCTGCCAGATAACATTAGTCCTGTATTTCATAGTGGCAGAAATCTGTGCCGAGGCTTGGGGCTTGAAATCTCTCTGCCCGCACAGGATGAAGCAAAGATGGGTGCGGGGTGGAGGAAGGGGAATTTGTTACACTTGCCTACAATTGTTTTTCTTTTTGCTTATATAAACAATCTATTATTTATTACCTATAAATAATGCATTTTTCTGTATGTTTAGAATGCACGTGATTTCTGTATATTAAAAATGTACATGGTTGAAGGCACCAAAGCAAGCGCTGGCAAGTCGGGGGGTACCTGATTTCATTTTGACCATGAGACGTTAATTCAGCCTCTCCCTGCCCATGCCCTTACGATGCTGACGACACGGTCGCAGCCTATTTTTAGCTCACTCCCTCTTTTCCTGTCCAGAGTGACTGCACAGCGAGGTGGAATTAAGGTTGCATGGACAGCCATAAATTGGACACTTCCTAACTTTGAAGTGCTTGACCACGCAATCTAAGCGAGGGCTCTTCAGGGCAGTATTTCTGCATGTGGCATTAACTGCATTGACTGGGGACGTCAAACACAGGGGTAGAGAAGCTGTAGAGCAGAAAAGACCTATCAGACTATTGAAAGTGTTCGTTTGAATAGGTGAGGGAGTCAACAGAGCCTACACTTGATCTGAGCTAAATGGCCAAGAAGATGTCTCCAAGCTGAGAGGGGGGAAGCTTTTGTTCCTTCAATCCCTGCCTTGATGTTTTCTTTGCCTTTGGTTTTCCCTTGTTCCCTCCTGAGGAGGTTTGGGCTCCTGCTCTAGAGGAACCTTTGGCTTGCGTAGTGAATTGATGTGCTGGTGGGAGCGAGGGTGTCCCTAGGAATGTGCACACACACACACACTCCCGTCATCACACCAGCAGACCTGTGCTACCAGCTCGCAGGTACTTGCTGATTGGCGTCCTTGCCTTGTCTTGCTTTGCCTTGCACACTCCCTCTTTCCCATGTCACTGTCAGGAGCCATTCCACATGTTGGAGGGAAAGGAGAGGCCTTTGTGTTTTACATAGGAAGGGTAATCTCTTTTTTAGCTGCTGGAAGAATTACTCCAAAGGTGATTATATGCAAAGCACATTTATCTTTGCCTAAAATAGCACTTTTTTGTTTTCTTTTTTTCCTTTGTTTACTGGTGTGTATCTCCATTCTGGCTCTCAGTAAGATGCTTGGCTGTCTGTTTTTGAGTGGAGTGGACACCTTGAGAAAATCAGTCTGTAAAGTAAGCAGCCCTTTGTTTTACTTTCCCAGGTATAATGCAGTCACAGCCCCTTGCACATACCTTGTGCCAATACCAGAGCACTCTCCCCCAGCTGGCAGTGTATTTGCCCTGGGATATAATTATTTGACTGAGCAGTTTTGTGTTTCCAGAACTCCTGGAACCTGATACCTGCCTGGGGCTGTTTCTGGATCGGCACAGGTACCTAAGTGTCCTGTGTTTGGGTTTCCATTGTTTGGGTTTGGCTTGTGTTTCATGAGCATCTCTTTCATAACTTTCCCCCTCTCTCCTGCCTCTCAGTTCAGCAAAGGGCCTGTCTATCTGAATGCAGGCAATAAACATCTGTTCTCACCCTCACTTCTGTTAATGAGATAGAGACAGGTAAGCATCACACATACCAACTTCCCTGCTCTCAGCAACATCAAGGAAACGGTGACAAGCTATTAATGGAAAGTGATGGTCTGGGTGCTAATTAGTGCTTCCTTTTCAACTTTTACCTACATGTCTGCTGAGATGCCCATCCCAGCCTCTCCTCTCTCCCTGCATCCCTTTGTTTCCAGCACGTTGTGTTCACTGTGCACATTCCATGTCAAAGAGTCTTCTCTGTTTTTTCCCTGCCGATCACTTTCTGCATCCCTTCATTCCCTGTTTTTTTCCATTTTCCCTGGCACCCTCATTCTTCTGTGGTTGTTCCAGCCAAAGAAAAAGCTTGATATTATAGTAGGATCTGAAAGCTTGGGGATGGGATATGTGAAGTTGGTCAGGAATTGCTCATCTTCATCACTGGGTAGAAATATTTGCTTGTGGCACTAGTGCACGGGGTCAAATTACCCTGGGGATGTGAGGTCAGAGATCTATCCCCTCTTCCCACAGGTAATGCTGTTGGGAGCCTCCCAGCAGCTCACAGGTCTTGATCATGGAGCAATTAGTATTTAAAGTAGATCTTCTGGTAATGCCCAGAGACCAAGTAGGACAGGCCTCCATGGTGTGAGCCTGCAGGAGATGACAGGTCCTGCCCCAGAGATTTTGTGATCTAAACCCTAAGTGGTTTTGCAGTCCACCAGCCAGCTCCTGCTTTTTTAATGGATGGTTTTTGAGATCCACCCCAACTTATGCTGCTGCAGCAACATGATTCCTGGTCTCAGCTTGGTGCCCAGTCTCTCCCTTTTCTCTTCCTTCTGGTCCCTGGGCTCTGCCCCTTCCCCAGGGACACTAATCATCCCCTCCTCACCTTTTCTGCATGGGCTGTGGGTTTCTTGCTGCCAGGCTTGTGTCCCAAGGAGCTGCCTAATCTGCCCCTGTCATTCCCAGTCACAGGCTCTGCACACACCATAGCTTTATGGGGAATGCTTGCAGGGCAGTAGGAAGAGGCAGCCATGGTTTGCACATCAGCTAATTAATTTTCATGACTGAACGATGCTGCCTGGTCTCTTGTTTATACTCCTCGCCTCTCCCCTGCTCCCCCTCCTCGCTGACACACACACAAGACGACACATCTCGTAGGAACGTCAGCATCCTTCCACAGCCTTGAGACGCGAGCGGTTATTCTGTTGGCTTGTCAAACGTGGGTTTCCCTGCTTCATGGTACACAGGGGCCCCCTGTTTCACATTTGCTGATTCTTATTAGACCCAGTGCGCCAGGGCCCTGTCTCTCCCTGCAAAGCAACGCGCCGCATCCCATCCATAAATCCAACCCTGGAACAAAGCCTCTTCTACCCTGCCCCATATTTCTACCCAGCCTGCCCGCTTTCCCCTCTCTCTCTCTCTCTCTCTCTCCCCCTCTCCCGTGCTGAAGGTTTCCTAGTGCCAGGGAGATATGATAATTCTTGTGAAGAGAGCATGAAATGCCTCTGCTCTTTGTGTCTGTTTAATTCAATGAGAATCCCAGCCCCAGATGTCATGAATGGTGGGCTTTGTGCTGGCCCTTCCTAAGCCCTAACCGCCAGCCCAGCTCTCTGTCTTTCTTGTTTCCCACCACTGGATACTGATTAACAAACTAAATTATTTTTCCTCCCTAATGATGTTTTCCCACTTTGCCCACCAGGCTGGAAGAAGCCACGGGGAGGAAAGAGTTTGTGCAAAGGATGAGATAGCCAGGGAGAAAATTAAAGAGACAGTGTTGCTGTCTGGGGTCTGGCAATGCAGGTCCACTCGGCTTTATTTCCTTATTAGAGAACGGGGTCGTGTCTGGCTGTATTTTACGTGGCTGGGTGTATTTCAGCCGAGGGACGGGCTTGAAAGCATCCGCACAACGTACGCTCTGGAGCATGCCAGGGTCTGTAACTCACTTGCAATTGTGTGTGCAAGTTTGCACGGCCCCAAATTTAAGGTCTCTTTTCCGAACGTGAGTGACATGTGGTAATTGCTTGACATCCGTCCATGCATATGGGAACCTCTTTCTAATTGAGACAAATTCTCTTTTCCTTAATCAGACATGACTGAGAGTTCGTGGAGTGGGATGCCTTGGGAAGGGCTGGGACGTCTCCACCTGAGCAAGGAGAGGTGAGTCCCTGGAAGCCTTGCTGAAGGATTGAGTTCAACTCATGCGTGTGAGACCAGCTCTTTTACCTGATCCCTCCCTCTCTCCCACAGCCAAATTTCCAGCCAGGCTTTTGAAACAGGGCCAGTTGTTAGCTGCTGCTAGAGAAGACCAGCAGTGATAATCCAGGGAGCCTGGATGGAGCTGGAGGCAGGTGGCCAAGGCAGGACTGTGCAAAGCCACCTGCTTCTTGGAGCCTAGCAGTGCCTCCTTGCTGGACACCAGCAAAGCTGTGTCCAGCAAACACCCTCCTGTAGCAGAAAAGAAGGTGTGTGTCAACCTTGTGAGTAGAAAAGATGGTAGGGAGGGAGAGAACCTTTTAACAACAATCTGGGGGTCTGAGTTGTGCTGTTGGGAATCATTGAGAGGGGGTTGGTTTGGCATTTTGACTTAAAAAAGCCCCAAACAAATGAAAAACCAGAGGAGCCTCTGTGTTCATGGTGTGGACTCCTCTCAGCTGGGACATGGAGAGGGACAGGTCTGATGGACAGAGCAAGATGGAGAGCTGAGTGTGCTTAGGAAGGCTCTACAGTGGTGCAGTGTTCAGCCCTCCATTTATCAGAGAGTACAATATATGTATTTATCTCTCACAATTGAGAGCTCAAGTCAGAGAGGGCCAGAGCCTTGCCTTTCCCTGTGCAGATCTGGGAGGGTTGTGCAGGCTCAGCCTGGCAGTAGCTGCTCCTGTCATCACCACCCCAGTGCTGCAGTACCCAGCCAGTTCCCCTTTTCCTCACCTCCGCTCAAAGGGAAACAAACAGGGAAAAGGGAGTTGGTTTCCTGCACCCACCAAGCCCCTGCAAGCGCACCCAGTGCATCCCGCAGAGCATTGCCTCACGTACGGCCTTTGCTTCCCACTGCAGTGACATCTGACCCTTATCACTCCTGCAAGTTAGAACAAGGCAGGAAAAATGGCTGTGCAGCGAGTTTCTTCATGCGCCAGGATTTATTAAGAACAATAGGGGAAATCAATCCATCTATGTAGAATACATCACAGGCTGCAATGGGATAAAGCATTTATTCCGCTCTTGAAGGGTAGAGCTATAACTCATGGGAGGCAAAACCCTTAGTGCTCTGGAGTCCCTTCCCTTCATGTGTGCAAAGAAATGCTTTAGCCCATGGCAACCTACCAGCTATTGAATTTGTGTGGAGAATCTGCCGTCCTTCCCCTTTGCCGGCCCCTTTTTGGAAGGCGAGTCACTCATTAAAACACACCTCTGGAAAAATGAAGGGGCTGTCGGTTCGAAGGCATCTCTGCATCTCGGTTTTACTTTAAACAGAAAGGGAATAGAAATGTCTCAGTGATTTAAAAGCAACCCCCCACCAATTTTGAATGGACAGATTGTGCTTTAACCAACGTAGGATTTGCTGCAACTTTCTGCTGATGCCCAAGGACCAGGCGCTGCAATTACAGCAGAGAGGGATGGGTTGGGGTGTTGTGACAAGGCGAGATGCTGTGCAGGGAGATGCGTGTTGTGCAGCTGAACACCTCCAGTGCTGACTAGATAGATGTGTGTGTGTATATATAAGTACTCCCTGTGCCCAGCTCTCTACTCGTGGTAGAAGGCATGCAGTGCAAAGACTGGAGCAGTAGTTAGCAGGGGCAAAAGGTGACCAGGATTTGTTATAATCTTTCTGGGTGTGAGAGAGTGTGAAGCTGGCGGGGGGGTGGGGGGGTGGATCTTGTGGAGGGGTGGCATTAATAGTGAAATGGTATTTTCACTAAGCCTATTTTCACTGGGTCTAATCTATGTTGTGGGAAGAAGATCTCTTCCATAGGGCAGACCCAGCGAGGCTGGTGAGCTGCTTGGAGGGGTCTGGGCTGCCAAGGAGCGCGGGCAGCGGGAAGCGAGGCAGTTGAGCAGACACGTCAGACAGCCTTCCTCAGCAGAGATGACTTGGTAGGTAGCGTGCTGTTGGGCAGATGGGGTTAATTCTTACACCCAAATCAAAAGGCAACTGAGGGGGGAATGTTTTATTAATGAAAGCAGCCCTTTGTGAGTATTCCTCCCGAGGCACGTTCCCTCCACCCGCTGCCTTCCCCCCTGGCTGCTGTCTGGCCCCACGTCTTGCTCAGTACCTGCTCAGCTGCCACTCACCCACTGATAGGTTTCATCAAGAAATGTCTCCATATGTGTCTGAGTCCTGAACCTGGGTATGTGGGATGGGAGGAGGAGGAGGAGAGATGAGTCCTTGGCCATGCTGGAGACAGGGGCTTGCCACAGGCAGGCAGAGCTCGGGCTGTCACAGGTTGCACATCAGCCCATTCATTGCTGCAATGGTGCTGTAGGAGTCATCTCTTGCTGGCACCAAAGAGCAAGAGGAGCAGAGTGCAAGGTAAAATGCAGGTTGGAAGTGGGTAGGGGATGAAGGGAACAGCTGGAGTTTGGGTTGGAGAGGTTGGAAGTGCCTTGCCTACCATCCAGTCACCTTCCCATCGCACCACCTCTCTGCCTGCCAAGCAATGGGCTCAAGAGAGAAGCAGGGGACTTCTGTGCACCCAGAAAGCAGCCTCTCCTGGTCTTTCCTACCCTGCTGTCTCCCTGTGCCCATGTCCTCGGGGGCCCTGGATACCTTGTTCTGTTAAAGGACAGGGCCGTGGGAGTGTCGAGGGCTGTGTGTGGAGATTATTTCTGTCGCTTTGTTAAAAATAAAACAAAAGCTGGTTTATGACAATTGATTCAGGAGAAAGAGGAAGTGGAGCTCAATTCCCAGAGCACCTTTTAGCAAGGCTCTGCATGCGCGCGCGCGTGTCGTACGCGTGTCAGAACTGAGCACCCACGGAAGGCCGGGTCGGGAAACCTCACATGGAAGCGGGGAAAAGACCCCAGTGCATGGCTGCTTCCCTGAGGGAACCCCCGCAGGGCTAATGTTTGATCTGAGGCTCCGTTGTACTCCTCTGAAACCTTGGGATGTCAGAAGCTCGAAGGGAGCTTGGGATGGAAGAGGATGCTATTTGCATTTTCCTATGAATGCATCTATTTGTATAAATCTGGTGTCTCTGTGCATGCGCACACTCCCCTACGCATGCATTTGTTTGAAGAGCAACACGCTGTCCCTGTAGTGTTCTCTGCTCAGGGCCAGAACTGGTTAGTCTGAAATTCAGACTCTTCCTGGAGGAGCTGCAACTCCCCTCCCCACTTCAAATCTAGCAATGGCTATGGACATAGGAGTCCTGAGATGGTTCACCATGCTATAGCAGAGTTTCATTGTGGGGGATGAAGGCTCCCCCTTTCAAATTTGCACAGACATCAAAAGAATCTGGAAGGTTCAAACAGATCACAACGTAATCAAAATGCCAAGCCACCGTCTGCTTCTGCCTTTGGGTTGACAAGCAGGATTAGCACCCAAGGGAAGCAGGGTGTAATAGTGTTTCACGGGCACTGTGAACAGCCCAGGAGTGTGCGGAGTACAGAAAGGTTAGCCGAAGGGCAGGTCTAGCTGCAGACGTACGGTTGGGGGGCGGATTTTAAAGCAAGGAGCTGTACTCGTACAACCTCTGTGGGTATTTACTTTAGCAGAAGGCAGGACTCTCCTGTATACCAGTGATGTCACGCTGGAAGCAGTTTAAGCTAAACTGGAGAAAGCCAGTTTAAGAGTGAAGATGTGCACCAGCGTGGCTAGGAGCAGCAGCAGTTGACCTATAGTGCTGTCATTATAATGGTGTGGTTTTCCGTGTAGACAACCCTGGAGCGGAGCAGCTAGCCTGCCATCCCTTATGTTTCACTGTCTAGCTGAGATGTATAACATGGCCCTGCCTGCATGCGGTTGCAATCACCCTCTGGTTCTCCACAGAGTACTGGAGCAGAAGCCGAATTTTCAATGTGCGTTGTGTGCCTATTGCACCAAAGTAGTCCCATCATAGCTAAAGGCACATGAAATTCTTCCCAAATACTGCTTTAGTGCCAATAATTGCTGGTCTTGTCCTGAGGGCAGCCCGAGACCAGAGGTGAGGGTTCCTTGTTTGGTATTTGGTGTTGCTCCTTTGGAGAACTGAGCCACACTGATGTGTCCGCTGTAAAGCTCCCATGGAGTGAGAAATGTATCTGTAGCTTTATCTGTGTCATCTGTGTAACCATGCATTTTATAACTGACCTTGTTTTAAATTTGTGTTAAATTAAGGTTTAGGAAGCTCATGTCTTCTTTACTGATATTGCTGCAGTTTTGGTTTGGGATTTATTCTGTTTTGGCCAGGGGAAAGGCATAATTTGCCTATAACTCACTCTCTGATGGCTGGTCAGGTGACATCTTGCCTTGTAGCTCTCGGAATGCTCTATCTGTCCAGGCTGTGTCTTCCAGGGCCAGTCCAGAGCCTGGTGGCTTTCAGAACTGGTGGGACACAGTGAGGCGGGTGGTTAAACCGCCGGTGTGGGGACAAGCCCGCTCGTGTCCAACAGTAAAGCTATGGCGAGGGCACAGCCGCCTCTGTGGCCACGAGCAGGGCCCAGGCAGTGTGTGTTGCCTGGCGAAGGAGAAGTGAACCAAGAGCGTTCCAGCCAGGAGGGCTGGGGAAAGATCTGTGGGAGCGCCGCGTGCCCATGGCACCGCGAGCATGCCCCGCGCTAAGATGGCCGCTCGCCAGCGCGCTCTGGCCCACCATGGCAACGCCTTTTCTCCTGAGGCTCCTCTTTTCTGGCTGCCACTGCTCCCGGGTGCCCACTGCCTCGGGGCTGGCGGAGGGGAGCCCGCTGGGATGGGCCAGCTGCGGGCCTGAGGCAGTGTGGGCCCCGGCGGCCATTTTGCGGGAGGCGAGCGCCGCCTGTAAGATGGCCGCATGGGCATGAGGTGGGGTGCAGCGCTGCCTTGTCCTCGCCACGCTGCCTCCCTCACGCCGTCCCCTCCTTATCTTGCTAATTACCGATGAAGGCAGAACAATAACGGGAGCTGGCATGCCCCAGTTCTTTCTCTGCCACCTCCTTCCTCGGGCGGAAAATCTGCGCGCACACCTCCCCCCCACCGCCCG